AAGCGTTGGCATAAGTGTATTGTATCCGAAGGGGACTACTTTGGAGGCGACAACATTAATGTAGATGAATAAATAAATATTTTTTTCATAAAACGAAAATTCTCGTTATTTTCTGAACACACCTCGTAAGTGAGTGGCATTTTGCCTACTTACGATTTTTTCCTTGCTGTTTTGGCGAACAAAATTAGCGAAACTGGAAGGCGTCTAGCGCAAATAGTCCTGCAACAAGATTAGCTGATAGGAGCTCCTTCTAGCTATAGATCCAGTGGCAAAATGGACGAGAATCGGCTTTTCGCGGTCAAAGATCGCTTCTCTTCTCCTCTTTCCGAGAAGAAATGTTATTATTGGTCGGTATGCTAATTCGGATATCGGTAGCGCCCTCCGAATATTTTATTATTGGTCCGTATGTAAATTAGAAGGATGCAGCGCCCTCCTTAACTCTCCTACTTTCGTTGTTATTTACCCTCTCTCACCCCCCACTAAGGTAGCTATCATTAATTGTCGGAAAAGATCTACCCCTACTCTTATCTATTTTTCTATCCGGACGGAAATCAAATTTTATTCTAATTCGCTCATTGGTCGTGACGTCACTAGCGAATTTCGTCAGAGGTTCGAATTCGATCGGTTAATTTATTGTTTAAACCTAACGGGGTAGTTGTCGCTCGCTATCACAATAGGGGTGTAGTCGCATGCGAATTTTACAATTCGGTATTTGTTCCATGCTCATTCTTTTCCAATTATAATTTTAATTTTAATTTGTCATGAATACGTATATAATATACGTCGTTTCATTTGTAGCGCCCTCATCCTCGCATTTGCATATTATTCTATTCATCATTTCCTATCATCTGTCTCGCTCGCTCTTGTTTAGTCTATTTCGCTCGCTCTGTCTCGCTCGTTCTGTCTCAGTCTGTGTCGCTTGCTCTTGTCTAGTCTACTTCGCTCGCTCTGTCTCGCTCGCTCTGTCTCAGTCTGTCTCGCTCGCTCGCTCTCAGTCTGTCTCGCTCGCTCGCTCTCAGTCTACTTCGCTCGCTCAAAATGGCCGCTTGGTCTCTCGCGCGTACGCCTCGTGTTCTCGTGTCGGTTGTTGGAGCGCCTCCTGGGGCGCTCCCGTGTCGGTTCAATGACGTTCTCCCGAGTGTTTGCGTGTGTGGTTGCTGTTGTACTTGTGTGTGGCGCTCAGGATGTCGCCGATGGTGTTCAGCAGCCCGACACAGCTGATTGCCGGCTGCCATTTCATCGGCGATTTTCTGCTCGCCCCAGGAGTGTTAGTGCTTCGTGAGTGTTGGTGTTGGTGTCTGGGAGTGTAACGGATCTGTATGTGTCATCAACATGCATTTCCGTTGCATTTCCCAGTCAAGTTTTCCATTTTTCTTTCGCCGGTCGGCAACACGTGGTCGGGAGTGTGTGTGAGTAAGTGTGTGCGTGCGCTCTCTTTTTCCGTGGTGCGCTCCTTTTTTCTCTCTGCTCTTTGAGTGTCCGTCGGATTACGTTTGTCGAATTTGTTTTGCCCATATCTCCGGTGTGGTTGTTTGGACATAAAAAAGGGTAATTGTTTTATGTAGGGCGCGTTTATTTTTATTTTATTCTACCGGTTACGGGGCGGCAAGGGACGGGGATGGCCTTTCTGAGGTGTTGCAAATAATGCAGCTCAGGAAAGGCCTTGTAATGTACCGCATTACAACTTATCGTGGAAATTTTTCCCATAAAAATGTTCGGACTTTAAAGAGAACAAAAAATTTTTGATTTTTTACTTACCTTTATCTATTGATAAAATATGGAAAATAATTACTAATCGATTCAAAAAAAAATGTACCCCAAAGTACTCGTCAGAATCTACAAAATGAGCTCCCGGAGGCTTCTGTAGGATAAATACTTTCTTAGTAAAAATACTTTTAATTTTATGTTATTTTTTCTTTGGGTGGGCAAATAAATATGGGCGACAGTCTATGTATTGCTTGGTTTTGTCGTATAATGTAAAAATATTAATAATAATGAACACCGACGACAGTTTAAGTATAACGAGTGAAATTGCTGACTCGTTATGTCTCTCTCTCCCTAGTAGCGATAAGTAAATGTAATCTATTTCTCCAAACCTATTCTATGTATTCATCAATTTATTGTATTTATATTTACTTATTATATATTTACATATATAATTACACTTCTGTTCTGATATAAGGTAAGTGAGGTGAAAAAAAAGAAATATAGTGGCGCCTTAGCGAGTGACCACGCACTCTGACTCATTAAAACGGAATCGTGTAGTTGAGCCCACGGCGCGAGCATCCCTCTTTCCGACCATCTTTGTTATGTATTTCTTAATTAAAGATTCTTTTTGTAAACACTCTAACATAATTGTATCCCGCTACTTTATTCGAATACCCTACCTTCTCGCGCCGACAACCGCTTTCGAATTTCCGACTTTCGCGCTCCTTAGCCAACACTACGAATCTGCGCTGATCTGGCCGTCCTGTCGCCGATGTGACGAACACCGGACCTGGGAGGACGACTACGTCCAGGAAATTTCAGACTTTGTTTATTCGATCATTACCCAATTATTATTTTAGTTATTCACTGGGCACACCGCGCTAAATCCCCGTTATACAAGAAAGAATTCAAGAAAGAGATTGTATTTTGAAATCAATAATAGTTACAATTTACTATTAAATCTGTGACTAAGATTGTTAAAAGCTGGAAATATTAGTAAAATGAGATCGATAATTTCACGGTCAACTAATATTTCATCAGTCGCGCATTGTTAATCAACTACCGAAAAGTTGAGCGTTGTTCTACACATTAACTTTACGGCCTACATTAATACAAGTATATCGAGTAATCAGGAAATTAAAGTGTCGGGCGTCTTAATTTTCGGTTTACTAAACTTGTGATTTCACTGAGTTCGATTGATTGCTACATCGTGAATTATTTTATAAATGTTGAATATTACGTTTCGGTATGTAACAGATGTATGCCAGTCTCCACTGGTCCGTTGGAAAAGAAGGTGTATAAAAAGTAATTCTACTGTTACGGGTAATTTGCACAACCCCTAGCGTGTCTCACTTCGTGTTGCTGAATTTTCTCCATTTTGACAAAACTAATTTTATAGCAAACCACCGCACTCTTTCTCTCAAATCTGTTATAGTATTTCATAAAAAATATGGATTTGTAATTCTTTTCATCGGTGATGGTGTTTATCCGAAGTTAAAATTTACAATAATAATATTCAATAAATTTATTTGTTCTATAAATAAATATAATTAGAGTGCATTAAGATTTTTTTATCGTGTTATTTAAGATTAGGCTGATAAAAAAATTGTCATACCTATGTTTATTCATTGTAACAGGGAAAATGTTTAGGACATAGGGAGCGCATATGCGCACAAAGTCCCTCGTCGCAAAACTAACCGCTACCCTGTTAAGTATGTATATGTATACGTGTATTCGCCTTTTCTACTGATACTTCGCTCCAACTTCACACTACTCCCTAGGATAAACTCACATCACCTGATCGATAATGCTGATCTGTTATATTGTGTGTGGATGTTAATATTTGCCTCCTATAATCCCCTAGACCAGATCCATTTGAATATTTCCGGGAAACGCCATTATTGATGTTATAGGGAACAATAGAACGTAAAAAGGCGAGTTATCACTAAACACTTTTAATCCAGTTAAATGATACAGTCTCGATTTTGGCCGAGAGACTAACGTTCGCTTATGCAATCACAAATTATCCGAGAAGAAAGAGAGAAAAAGTAAACCATGCGCGGACTAAACGCTCGGCTCGAATACATTAAAGTTTATCGCGCTCATGCAGTGAGTATATCTAACGGTCCATCTTATCGATAATGCGATAAAATAAAGGTGCACCTATCCTATGTAGCGGTTACGGTGATCAATCGTAACCGAGCTCATCGACGATATCCGCCGGGTGCTCTTTAAGTCCGCTCCTGCAGCAGTCCTCGATTAGACCTTCTCTGCCGTTGTCATTGCTAATTAAGCACCAACCGAAGCCGCCGTAGAAAGATACCTCTTCTCTAGCTGTCACGCTCACTGATTCGCCTTCTGCGTGTCGGATCTATTCCATTTTAATCTCGTACAATGCGCATTACATGGAAAAACTTCTGCACTTGATGCCGGTTCGCACGTTACTGTTTCGCGCGCTCTTTCCTATTTTGAACCCTCGCACGCTCACCCTCTCTCCTAATCGCTCGCTCCAGCACACCCAGTGCTGCTGAATCGCGAACGCGTCGATAATAATTGGCGGCCGTTGCATCATTTAATTGATCGAGTATAAATAAATATAAGACTCCTTGATGTTTTATTAAGGCTGACTTATTCATAATAGTGATCCACATGAATACGTTTAGCCAATCAGATCGCGAATAATCTGGCTTCACTTCTAGACCTATATCCTTTTATAATAAGAATAAACTTATTGTTATCGAAAAATTAACTAAATAAAAATAAATGAGATCGATGTCATTATATATCAGGGCAAAATAAAAACTACGCCTTGTGATCTACGATTTCACAGACAGAACGAATACACGTCACTATATATGTCAACATACTGTCATCAGCGTATATCATTTAAACACCTGTTAGTCAATTAGATCACGAATAAAACGGCTTCACTTTCAGACCCATCTTCTATTCTAAGAAAGATATTTGACTATATTAAATGGAAATCTGAAAATTAATGCTTACATACAGTTATTGTATAATTGATTTATTGTCATAAATAACTAATAATTTTATTAATCAATTGTTTTTTATCTACATTCTCTATGAAGTTAATTTTACCGAAGTATATCTTTTTCTGTAAATTGAATAAAATATTACTAAGCTTTTTTAGTTTTTTTATCATTACTAATCATGAAATTCATGTATTTCCAGTAATATTTTAAATTAAAATTGTTGTCAAAAATATTTGTTTTGTACTTAATATCATTACTTTGAAATTGTTAGTTATTTAAATAGTATAATATTCCTTTCAGAATTGTATTAGAGGATCTAAGTAGTGAAGATGAAGCTGTGGCAACAGATTTGGATATGCATGCTTTAATTTTGTCAAGCCGTAATGAGAATTACAACATAGAAGAACCAGTAAAAACAGCTGATGAAGTTTTAAGGGAAATTGATGATATAATGCAAGAGAGTCCAGTTGATGAATCATTCCATTCAGAATGTTTTCTAGAAATAAATGAGGCACTGGAAAGAAGTAAGGAGGTTTTGTCGTCACCGCTACACGAAAAAAGTATGTAATAAAATATAAATTATATACATATATACATTGTAACAAATAGTTATTCGTTAAGACGCATGTATATTAACCCATTAACGACCAAAATACTCAATTTTTTTGTCGATTTTCAACACGTTTTTTTCGGTAGTCATAGGGCTAAGAAATTTTTGCAAACACGTATTTGGATGGGAAATTTAACGCTCTTTCAGAATCCTTTTTCAAAATTGCGATTGATTGCGTTATAAAAAAGTTATAGCCAATTAAACAATAAAAACCTGAAAAATTGTGCAAAAATCAAATTTGCGATTTTTTTTAGCAATGTTACCGCTAAAAAATCATCAAGCAAATATGATCAGAGGTGATCACGACTATCAAAGTATCTCCAGGAATTTTGGCGGAATTTTTGAACCACTTCTTCCAACAAAATGGTGGCAAAATAAAAAAAAATCCATAAAAGATATTTCTCATTTTTTATCTCGGAAACCATTAAGTTTAGATGAAAAGTTCATTGAACAAAAAAGTCTTAGAATTAAACGAGAAATACGCCTGAATTTTTTTAGAATATTCCGAGGCGATTTTTGAATTTTCGGAGAATACGGAAAATCCATTTTTCCAAAATCATCTCCAAAAATTCTGATAAAATTCATGCGTGTTCCTTGATATATTCTAAGACTTTTTGTTCCATAAACTTTTTGTCCAAACTAAATAGTTTTCGAAATAAAAAGTGAGTTAGGTTATAATCCTAGCAGCGTTAATATTTTTGATACAGAATAAAGAACAACCATTCAACAATAATATAATAATGTTTTGCCTTTTTATGTGTATACAAATGCAGTTTAGATAGCCTATACTAATATACACATATCAAAAAAGCAATTCAGAAAATTGTATGTGAGCTCATTTTTATTACTTACTAGTCTCTTGTGATTTTGAGACCATACAGGAAATCGAATCGAAAAGATTATTTTCGCTTTCTAAAGTCTAGGTTTGACAAGAAGTATTGAAAACTGTAGTAATTATTTTCATTAGGTATTTTTATTATTTTATATAACATGTCGCAAAAACGTAAAAGACGTTCCACTCGCTCCCATGAAATGTACGAAATTGATATATCAAAGAACACTTACGATGATATAGTTACCCTTCCAAATCCTGACAATTCTGGTTCTGATGGATCAGATTTCGATACTTATACGGATGATGAAATTTCTAATATAACGTACACAGAAGTTTGTAAAACATACTGAAACTCAAACTAAACTAGAAAGAACGCATGAACTGCAGTGGTTGGAAGGAGAAAAAAAGTATAATGATAATTTGAAAGACAAAATTTTATTGAAAGACTCGGTAAAAAATAAAATACAAGAAATGGAGCCAGTAGAACTGTTTGAAACATTTTTCTCAACTGAAATGAAGCAATATATTATAGATGCTTGCAAAGAAAATAATTTTGATTTAAAGTTAAAAGACTTAAATACATTCGTGGGAATAATCATTTTGACTTCATTCAACAAAAGGAAATCTCAGAGGGATTACTGGTCACGTGATCCCTTTTTATCTTGTAACGTTGTTTCTTCTGCTATGTCACGTAATAAGTTTGAAGAGATCAAATCAAAATTAAAATATTCACAAACGAAAGATAAAAATCCAACTGACTATGCTTGGCGTGTCCGTTCACTATTAAACCGATTTGAAATTAATATTATGAAGTTCGGTGTGTGGGGAACTGCTCTTTCCATCGATGAAATGATGGCTAAGTCTTATGCGAGGACGGTTCTAAAACAATTCATTCGAGGAAAACCCATACGATTTGGTCTCAAATTCTGAGGTCTTTGTACTTCCGATGGTTTTGTATTAGGTCTTGACTTATACTGCGGAAAAAATTCTACAATGGGAAGTAAATTTAGTAAGTGTGCATTAAGTTCTCGCGTTGTCATGAATTTACTAGAAAAGTTTTTTCGTGTTATACCTCCGGGCAAAATATCTATGTTCCATCTTTATTTTGATAATTATTTCACAAGCTTAGATCTCGCTGTACATTTGAAGAAGCTTGGGCTAAAATGTACAGGTACTATTAGAGAAGATAGAGTCAAAGATAAAAATGTTCTAAATAAAAAAGCTCAAAGAGGTGAGTATGCCGTGAAACACGATAAGAACAGTGGTATAAATTACATCACTGTGATGGATTCAAAACCAGTTTCGATTATTTCTACTGCTGCAGGGGTAACTCCATTATCCTTTTCAAAGAGATACAGTAAGCAAGAAGGAAAAAAAGTTGAAATACCTTTTCCGAGGGCTATTAGCGTCTATAACAGTTTTATGGGTGGCAATGATGTCCACGACGGACATTGTAACAATTTACTTCCGAGTATTCATTCAAAAAAGTGGACATGGGTAGTTTTTTTATGACTAATTCAAGCTTCGATTGTAAATGCTACTGTACTATTCAATGCTGTCAATGGTGAGAAAAAAAGGGTTGGAACAAAAGATTTTGCACTTTCAATAGCTAAAAATTACATGACGCAGAGACAATGCAAAAAAGAGAAACACAATATGTCCAAGCAAACAAAACTCAAACTTTGTTCTTATTGTCCCGTAAGAACGAGAATTATCTGTGAAAAATCTTATTTTTCGATTTGTGTTGAATGTTTCAAAAAAAACACTGAAAAATTCGTATTGCAGTGAGAGGCAAGGGGACTCACTCAAATCAAGCTCCCCAAAGGAGGCAAAATTCTACTACGTCCTCGTCGTTATCTCTGGGTCATGCTAAGAGTAGAACGTTTTTTATCTCGAAAACTATTGAGTTTGGAGAAAAGGTTTATGGAACAAAAAGTCTTAGAATATATCAAGGAACACGCATGAATTTTTTCAGAATTTTTGGAGATGATTTTGGAAAAATGGATTTTCCGTATTCTCCGAAAATTCAAAAATCGCCTCGGAATATTCTAAAAAAATTCAGGCGTATTTCTCGTTTAATTCTAAGACTTTTTTGTTCAATGAACTTTTCATCTAAACTTAATGGTTTCCGAGATAAAAAATGAGAAATATCTTTTATGGATTTTTTTTTATTTTGCCACCATTTTGTTGGAAGAAGTGGTTCAAAAATTCCGCCAAAATTCCTGGAGATACTTTGATAGTCGTGATCACCTCTGATCATATTTGCTTGATGATTTTTTATCGGTAACATTGCTAAAAAAAATCGCAAATTTGATTTTTGCACAATTTTTCAGGTTTTTATTGTTTAATTGGCTATAACTTTTTTATAACGCAATCAATCGCAATTTTGAAAAAGGATTCTGAAAGAGCGTTAAATTTCCCATCCAAATACGTGTTTGCAAAAATTTCTTAGGCCTATGACTACCGAAAAAAACGTGTTGAAAATCGACAAAAAAATTGAGTATTTTGGTCGTTAATGGGTTGAGGAGCAACCGGGCTGAAAATAGTGATTGCGAACGTGAGAGCATCCAAGCACGTGGTGAAAGGGGGAGAGTGACATGCGATTAGATGAAAAGTTAGTATCGCTTGGATCGGCAAGGAAAGTCAAACGAGTGGATAAAAGGACGTTTTTCCCGCTGCCATTTCCCTTTACGTTCTTTTCTCGTCTACTTTCTCGGTACAATCCAGATCGTGCAAGGTTGTGTCGATGAGGGTATGTGTTCTTGACGCTCAACGCTCTCAAGATCAAGAAGCCGCTCGTCTAGGCTATCGCTCTGCTATAAGCAACTAGAAGGCTCCGGTAGGTCGCTTAACCACACCAGTAGCCCTCGCGTACCCACCAAGCCACGCGCGTATCGTTAACTGCAGTAACGATACCAGGTACTACGTAGGTAAAAGTTAATGTTTGCTCAAGCATCTCAATTTGTTTTCTGAGCGGCATGACCACTGTTAGCTCGCGTTCATGCGTGTTTTTTTCTTTTTCTCTTTTTCTCTTTCGTCCTCTCCCTCAGTCATCATGATTTACAAATGCGACTGGTTGTTGATTTTTACGTCCGCCCTAATCTATTGGCTAAGTACTTCGTTGTTTATCAGCAAGGCAAAATAAACCAACAACTTTTATTTTATTTCATTTAACATTCTGTTAACCCACGCTCGCAGTAAAGAACCTGATATAATTTATTCGTTTCCTGAATTGATCCGTATCAGCGCCAAACATAAGTGGAGCGGAATTTTTGTAATTTAACTTTATTTTTTTAAATATAAACCTATATATTAACTTCGGATTCGAAAAACGTGGGTATGTTCACATTCAAGTAGTTCGCTTAATAATGTGATTGAATATTTGTGTTTGTGTCAATTTTAATTTATGAAAGTTATCAATAAATATTTTTGTTAGATCGTAAACCAATTAAACTTGTTTTTCGTAAATACATACCATAAAGTTGAATCATTATGTAATATATCAGAAACAAAATTTTTAAACTGCTGTATTTACTAAGAAATAAGTCAATACTAATTTTATAAAATGACTTTAGCATTAATTATCAAACAAAAGTTTCCTTCTTCCATAGAATCGAAGGAGACTTCCGTTTGTGAGCTATTGTCATCATACGTGGATGCCAAATAGATGAGGGAACTGAGACCACTAAGCCATTGACTTCTGTAGGAACGGAGAAGGTAAACCCCTAATGTCTCCAAGACCAGACATCCTGATATATCCAGGACATGGTGGATGAGATTGAGCTGGAGAATGCTCGCTTGGAAGTCAAAACCAATTAATTCGTTGCCTACTAGATCGGAGCGTAGCGTATCACTAGGTTCTCACCTTCCAGGCTCGCGTATTCGGGCTAGACTAAATGCTAAAGGAGCACCAACGCTGGAGATCATGCACGCCATCCAGAAGAAAGAAATAACACTAACCTCTAATCAGGCGGACGACACATTGGCTGAGACCTTGACTAAGCACAGGACACCTATGTCCTATGATTCGGTGACTAGCTCAAAGGGCTTTTAGCTGCCAGTTGATGGGTAAACGAAAAATTAGCTGGATGGATAGTTGGGTGACGAAGCGGAGG